TTTTTTTTTTTTTTTTCAAACGGCATAAAATATCTCATAAAAAAACCCAAAAGGCAATGTACAGCCCGAAGCCGGGGAAAATGAGAGGTTACACCTATAACCAATGTAACCTAGACGGAATACCAGCTAGCAACGCTAGCAATACGAGCACACTACGACACTAACTGAACCTAGAAACATAACAAAACAATACATAAAGGACCCCAACAGGGTAATATCTGAGTGTAAGCTCCCAACAGGAGAATAAAGGCTACACTCAGGCCGAACCGGGGCCAACGGCCCAAACCAAAAACACATAAACCACATTAACACAAACAACACAAACACAAAAACAAATAAACAACATAATAAACAACAAGAAATAAAACGGAGCCCTTCCCCAGTGATCTGTACTAAGCTCAACCAGCAGTGACCGACCGACACAACGAAAACCTCGAGCCCGAGAACCGCTACCGAAACTGCACGAATGCCTATACAGCAGGTGAACTCAATCCCCGAGACATTCCCGAATCGGCCCGTCTCCAACCAAGAGAAACAACCCTCCCCCCAGCCCCACTCGAACCCGTCTAACACCGGTAGCCGAGCTCGAGAAAGCCAGATCCCGCCGCCTAACACCACTAGATGACAGAGGAGGAAGAGAGAGTCGCATTCCCTCAACTCCGACAAACCGACGTAGGACTCAGCCAAAGGCCCGCCCCACCACGCCGCTGCCAAAGTCCCACACCACCACATCAGACCCACACATCTCACCTTACCACCATAACCCACCGGCATCTGGAAGTCAAACTCCACTCGAAGCTCCACCGGAAAAGGCGATGCCACTCTAGAGGGGCCTAAGTCCGACCCCCCATCTCCGACAATCCACAGCAACAACGGAGAAGCGCCAGTCATGAGTGGAGCGAGCAGTTGAAGACGACTATTGGCCGAGTATAGAAGTCACCGGGAAGGCCGATCGACGAGACGATTGAGAAAAAACGGGCGGATGGATTTGGAGATTAGGTTTCACGCAAGAGAGAGAAAAAACAGTTATTCTTACATATTACATCAATATTATCAATATAATTAAATAATATCATTCAAATATTCTTACATATTACATCAACTTCAATTCACTATTTATTTACTCACATAATTTTAACTCCACATAATTTTAACTATATCATTCACTCCTATTTTTACATCAAATCAACTTTAATTATTTTGTATAAATATTATTTTGATATAAACTCAAAATCCCACTACAACAAACTATATCACTTTTTTTTTTTTTCAAAATTAATCATACCAACTTGGAAAATCCAAACAAAATCAAAACATCTTACATCCAAGTATCGCTTCATTATCTAGGACAATTCAAGCCATCAGCTCGTGCCTCATCGCTATATACATCCACCGCTATCTATAGAACTGAACCGGTAAGCCGATTTGTGGCTGTATGAGGTTACTTCAAATATTTGTTAATAATTCAGTTTGGATAGTCTTAAATTAAATATATTATGCTTTTTAATCTCTCCAAAATCCACCAAATATCTCGAATGTATGTTGCTCGTAATCCAAAAGCAAGATAATCACAATTTCTCTTTGGCAAACAAAATATCACTTTATGGTCAAACAGTATCACAGCAATTCAATTGTACAATTTACTATTACAGATTATACACAGACACCACAATTTTCACAATTATAAAAGGCAACACCTCATATATTTATGTACAACCAACACTACCAAGATCTCAAAACACAACATCATACAAAATAAATGCTGCAAAAAAACGCAATGGCTTGCTCAAATTTAAGAAACACGCTTTTGTTCCTCTTCATTACAGCCAACCTTATCCATGCACCATTCGCCTCTTATCTCGAGATCAAGAAGAAATGTTTCCTAACCTCGAAAGTCACGGTTCACGTGGCCAACTTGCTATCTGTGAACGAGCAATTTCTACTGCACTGTCGGTCGAAAGACGATGATTTAGGAATAAAGACGATGGGTCAAAATCAAGAATTCAGGTGGACTTTCTGCACTAATATCTGGCACTCTACCAAATTTTGGTGTACTTTTCAGTGGGGAATAAAGCATCAAGAGATTGTCGCGTACGAGGAGGCAATGAGGGAGTTCTGTAAACACAATCACTGTTATTGGTCTGCAAGAGATGACGGAATATATTTTTCCGACACTAAGTATTATGATTGGAAGTGATCTGATTTGAGTGTACTTTGAGAGAGGATGATGATGACTACTAATGAACTAGCTTATATGTGTTGGCAAAAAAATATTTTAAAGATGTTTATTATGAAATAGCAATTGCAATCAATTAGATATAAATTATTTTCTGTTTGTTCGAAAGATGCAACATAAATGAAAAACAAATTTGGCTCGTTTACATACATACATTATACATACTCTTTCATATCCTTTAGTCTACCTTATTAGACAATCTAATCATGCGACCGACTCAAATTCTCTCGAGGTGGAGTGCTGCTTGTGCTGAGCTCATATGCTCTACTCATCTACTCGATCCATCGACCAGCCATGCCTTCAGGTCGAGCTTCAACTTGGCCATCCGAGAGCCCTAGCTCCAGAGGCGGAGCCAGGATTTAAAACTTATCCAAGATAAAATTATAACAGATATTAATTAAAATGTCTTATTTCTAACTTGATTTTTGGAAGATTAATCACTTCACAAAAAAACAAGTACCAAATACTAACTAATTAGAGTTCCCTAAATATATCTATTCGCCATACTAATTATCATGGGTTAGGATGTACCTTGTTTGTTGTATATTAAGGGGACGATTAGATATGAATTTAATCGGTTTTGACCGGTTTTGATTAATTAAAGTGGGTTATTTTGAATAAAATAAATTGAGTGCATAATTTTGAATTTGAAAATAAATAATATTTAAAATATAATGATTACAATTGATGTGATGTAAAATTAAGTAGGAGATGTGTGATTGAAAGTAATATGAAATTAAAATTATGTCAGTGAGTGGATACTGAAATAAAATTTATGTGATGTGAGAGAATAATTAATTTATATTATTTAATTATATTTATAAAAAGTAGGAGATTTGGGTTGAGTTGAATATCGAGTTAGATGATTGGATATGAAATAACTCGATTGGTCATAACCGATTAAAACTGGTTATAACTCATATTCTATCAAGCCCCAAACTGGTAGACAGTAACTGCCTTGAACTGGTGTTCGAAAACCGGAAAAAGCACACGGACAGGTTCCCGAAATATATAAACTGATACTCAAGTTAATTTTTGGTATGATCGGTATGAATTGTGTGTTAGAGAGTGATTTTACCTTTGGTGTTGATGATGTATTCATAGGTATAAATAATTAATATCTTTTTGGAAGTTGTTGATGATGTATTCATAGGTATAAATAATTAATATCTTTTTGGAAGTTACCTCGATATTATATCTTTTCGTGCATGCTTAAAAAAAAAAAAAAATCAATCAATTTTTGTTTTTACTCCAATCTCATTCAACCCCACTATTTTCAATATTATCAATATAATTAAATAATATCATTCAAACATTCTTACACATTACATCAACTCTAATTTACTATTTATTCATTCGCATAATTTTAACTAAATCGTTCACTCCTACTTTTACATCAAATCAACTTAAATTATTTTATTTAAATATTATTTTAGTATAAACTCAAAATCCCACTAATTGCTAACTATATCACTTTTTTTTTTTCAAATTAATCATACCAACTTAAAAAATCTAAACAAAATCAAAACATCTTATATCCAAGCATTGCCAATATCTAGGTCAAATCAAGCCATCAGCTCGTGTCTCATCACTATATACATCCACCGCCCACCCGAGCTACACAATCCAAGTCGAGCTATCTATAGAACTGAACCGGTAAGCCGATTTGTGGCTGTATCAGGTTACTTCAAATATCTGTTAATAATTCAGTTTGGATAGTCTTAAATTAAATATATTATGCTTTTTAATCTCTTCAAAATCTACCAAATATCTCGAATGCATGTAGCTCGTAATCCAAAAGCAAGATAATCACAATTTCTCTTTGGCAAACTAATATAATATAGTTCACTTTATGGTCAAACAGTAACACAGGAATTGTACAATTTACTATTACAGATTACATAACCACCACAACTTTTACAGTTACAAAATGCAACGCTTCATATATTTTATGTACAACCAAAACTACCAAGATCTCAAAAAACACAACATCATACAAATACATGCTGCAAAAAACGCAATGGCTTGCTCAAATTTAAGAAACACGCTTTTGTTCCTCTTCATTACAGCCAACCTTATCCATGCACCATTCGCCTCTTATCTCGAGATCAAGAAGATATGTTTCCTAACCTCGAGAGTCACGGTTCACGTGGCCAACTTGCTATCTGTGAACAAGCCGTTTCTACTGCACTGTCGCTCGAAAGACGATGATTTAGGAATAAAGACGATTGGTCAAAATCAAGAATTCAGGTGGACTTTCTGCACTAATTTCTGGCACACTACCAAATTTCGGTGTAATTTTCAGTGGGGAATAAAGCATCAAGAGATTGTCGCGTACGAGGAGGCAACGAGGGAGTTCTGTAAAGACAATCACTGTTATTGGTCTGCAAGAGATGACGGAATATATTTTTCCGACACTAAGAATTATGATTGGAAGTGATCTGATTTGAGTGTAATTTGGGAGAGGATGATGATGACTACTGATGAACTAGCTTACTGCTTATATGTGTTGGCAAAAAAAAATATTAATGATGTTTATTATGAAATAGCAATTGCAATCAATTAGATATAAATTATTTTTATTCTGTTAGTTCAAAAGATGCAACCTAAATGAAAAACAAAGTTATATTCTTCAAAAACTCCAGTGGGTTTGGCTCGTTTACATACATACATTATACATAGTCATAAAAGTCGAACCACTCTGTCAGATATTGTAGCAAAATGGGCATCATTTTAAATGTTATGCTAGGTTACCAACATACAGCATGTTATTACATCCATAAAATGAATAAAGGTAACAACAAAAGGCATTTAAATCCTAAACAAAACACAAACCTCAAAGGGTGACAGTTCACAGCACATGCTACTATTATTACTATTAGCTTACTAATCTAAAACTACAAGGTGTCTGAAAAAACATTCACTCGGGTCTACGCATTTTGACATTTATAGGTCTTTCTTTGTATGACTGAACTTTTTTGGCAGCTGAACGAGATGGCCTGCTTAGAGATGATCTCCCGATTTCAGGAGGTTTATACTCAAAACCAGAACTTCCTCTATTATCATCATCTGTAGCCAATCCACTTCCAGAATTTGATCCATTTTCCAGGACAGCTTTTTCATCAGGCAAGGCACGTTCGAGAAATCTGATATTGTCATTTTCTGGTTCATCCTCAGTAGGTTTTAGTTCCGAGACGTTAAACCTGGCAGATTGTCTCCTCACTGAGAGCCTGGACATGATATTAAAGAAACAAGGTTTTGACCCAATAACGATGTTTCTTGTATGAACCTTTGTCTCTACTTTGTTTCTTATTAACTGAAAAGGGGAGAGAGAGATGGACCTTCTATTTGGGGCATTCTCAGATTGCAATGACTCGGAAGAGCCGAAACCTACGAATGATCCCAAGAAATAAGGTTCGATTCAAAGCACTCTCTTGAAATAATTTGAGCAAGACAAATCCAAACAAAACACTCACTCTGTGATCTTAATCTTTTTGTATTGCGATGCTTTTCCGCATCTCTACCTACAGTTGAAGTTTCTTCTTCCTCTGGCAACTTGGTCAAATCCACCTTGACAGGAATATCGTCTTCTTCAACCGATGTGCTTCCAGAATTTGATCCACTTTCTATGAGTGATTCTTGAGGCAACGGACAATTGGAAGATTTAGAGTCGTCTCTTTCTGACGAATCCTCTGCAGATTTTGATTCGACAGCCTTAAACCTGGCCGATTGTCTCCTCACAAAAGACCTGAAATGACAGCAGCTAATAAGGTTATGTGCAATCATCATTCAAATGAATTGTTTTTGACCCATTAATGTAATCCCTGATTATTATATCTGCATGATAGTTCATGACCGGCAATTGGGTCATGAACATTATACTTGCAGGATTTTTTCCACCAACAAATGATACAATTGTTTTTCATGGATCCCCACTGCCTATTAACTACCACAAGAGCCTACCAAAATTCTGGCAAAGTATGGGCTGTAAAGTGATAACGAACTATAGTTCGGCAAATGTATAGATGAGGGACAAAACAGTTTATTTGAGACATAAGGGGAGAAAGTGATGCATGAAGAACAGAAGAGTGAGGTAAAAATTGTCCTAAGGCGCACTTTATTTATTTATCAGAACTATAACAAAAGGAACCTTCTATTTCCATCATTCTCCTCTGAATGCAATTGTTTGCCGAAACCTGTAAATGAACAAAGGGAAAAAGGCTATATTTCAAAAGCAACATTTAATACTATAAAGAAAAATATAAGAATGATACTCACTCTGCAGCCGCGATCTTCTTTTGGTATTACAAGGCTTTTCATCATCCTGGCCTATAGTAGCAGTCTCCGCTTCCTCTGGTAACTTGATCAAATTCACCTTTATAAGGTTAGAGCAGTAAAATTGAGGTTAGAACAATACACACATCGGTGATAAATGCAGACAGAGGTTAAATAACTGCAGTTAATGTGTCAACATCAATATCCAGGTAACAGAAAGGATTGCAGATAAATCACTCAAGTGCATTTATCTCAGAAATCCTTAGTTCTGCATTGTACCTTATAGGCTTTTCCCTGCATAAAATCAAAGACCAATAATTAGTAAAAGGTAACAAAATATGACGACACTGCCTTCAGCATTAAAGAAATAAACAGACCCCTTCCAGTTTTTTTGCATTCAGCAGTCCATTTTTGCATCCAAGCTCATGTTGTAATGTTTTCAACTGAAATGAAAAAAGACAGAAATTTTGGTAACTCATGCAGATTATAGGTGGAGACATCCCAACATTGAAACAAAATACTCATTCTGGTCTTACTGCACTTACCCGATCTTTGCCTAAATTTAGCTCCTGCAAATTCGACAAACAAATAGGTTCACTTTATCACAATGGGAAAACAGTGTCAAAAATCAAATTCACGAAATAAAGATAGATGGACACAAACCCCCAGCATTTGGGTATGTGACAGGGCTAGCTGCTGATTCTTTTCCTGCACTTCAATCAGATTTAACCTTAATCTCTCAAGCTCAATTCCACTCCGTTCAATGATTTTGCTTGGCAAAACAAGGTGAAGGAACTCACTTTCAAAAGTTCAAATCAGAAGCCAATTGTGCACAACCATAGGAAATCATCAACAAACAAAACACTATACAACCAAAAAAAAAAAAACTAATTCAAAGGATACTTTCTGTGCGCCAGCATTTTCGCTAAAGCCACATTTTCCTGATCACAGCCGCAATAAGGTAAATTAAGACAAGAAAATTTCCGGCCAAACTCAAAGATGATACAACCTCTTGTTACCTTCTGGAGCTGTTCAATATATGCTTTTGTAGCTATTGGAATTGATTTCGACCTATCATCTTGAACTGATGGATTCGGTTTCTGTGGTATGTTGCTAATGTCAGCCAGCTTTCGCCTGGCCGTATTTGGTGGGTAATGTCCAGCTGCTTTCTCTGCATTTAAGATTAGATCACAAACCAGATAACAAGTAAAAAATCTGTAGCTCAAAAACCACCTCTTTCAGATTCTAGAGACGGGACTATCAAGGGGCATAATCATAGCATAAAATTATCAACTCCTGTAAACGAAGTTGACTTAGAAAGTGTTCAATTTTCCCAGCCATAAATCCTAACAGCTCCTCGAAACCCTAAAACCGTTGCATGTTATGAGCAAAAATTGCGCCTTTGAGAACACATACAAACTAAAAAAGAAACCCTAGAAATTAGTGCGAACAATCAAATCACATGAACAAAATACAAAATAAAAAAATTAACACAAACACTCGATCAAATTCCTAAACAGACTTATCAAACGAAATGCGGTGAAAAATTACCACCGCGTGCTGCGGCATTCATCGTATCAAGAATCAGCAAACCTTCCGCCTTCGACATCAATATCGGTTCTCGAAGCTCTCTTTCTCTCTCCAAAAAGTTGGACCAGCTTTCTATCTCTACACTCGTATATGGGACTTGGGAAAATTGAAATATTGAAATGAGACGGAAAAAGAGATGAGAATATAGGCTCGGAACGACCGAACGACTTTCCGAAGCAAATACAGAACCTACTTACAAAGGGGGCTTGCTAGAACGGCCCACTTCGATTTGAGCCCAAATGTTAGTACCTTAGAAAGCACCAAACCCAACAATGAATTGAACTTTACCCATCAACACGATTTGAGCCCAAATTTTATTATGAGACCTTTTACCAAACATAACGTAAACAGACATCTATTCTCTTATATATTATTATATATATATATATAAATGAGCTACTTGCCTTCTTTAAGTGCTACGTGTCCAGCTTAATGCCTAAACGACGTCGTTTCAATTTAATTTCAAAACGACGTTGTTTTGGTTTGAGTCTAACCTAAAAATGTTGACTCTTCTCTCCCCCATATTTTGGCCGTCGTGCGCACGCTCTCGACAGGCACGTCCGTTCTCGGCTCCTGCAACAGGATATCCGACAACTGGTAGGAGTTAATGGCCAGCCTCATCTTCTAACTCCTCGGTCCATGCGCTCAAATATTCGTAGTGCCTCTTCCGCTTCGTAGTGCCTCGACGACAACGTCGGAGTGCTCGCCTCTGGCGATCGACCAATACTCTGTCGACACCTGTTCAAGGCGGCGAAGTCCGACTCGCCCTGATCCGACACAGTGGATTATCCTCCTCCGCAAACCTACCTTCTTCGATTGGAGTTTCTCATCTGCCGCCGCATCTATTTCCAACCTAATTCGTGCCAACGTCTTTCCCGGCGACGGAATTGGGCCTCACATCGTCGAATCCGTCAAACAGGTACGAAAAACGTGGCCCGTCGATAATTTGTCCGTGTGTAGTTGAGTATTTTTTTTAACCTTTCGAATTTTGATGACCGGGTTGAATAATATGGAGTTGCCTTTTGCTTCGTGTTGGAATTACAGTGTTTGAGTTGTTATCGAGCTTCAATTTTTTGGTAAAGTAATGGGTTGTGCTATGGTGAAGTCAATTTTGTAGTGTTTGACGACGTCGTTTATATTTGGGTAAAACGACGCCGTTCACTTTCCAGCTGATTAGAACTTGGTCGTTTGGCTCATAAATCTACGTCATTTTGTTACTTTTGCGAAAAAGCGGTCGTTCAGTTCAGAATTGAGGGCTTGTGAATTGGGCACTTCCATAAAATTTATACAATTTTTGTTCTTTTGCTCCATTTGCATGCCTCGAATTTTGACAGAATTCTTATTTCTTTTGGTATTTATATATGTGCTTTGTTCAATTTGAAGCATCTTGCCCCTGAATCTCAACGAGTTGTTCAGTTCCTTGAAGATAGACGGGATTTCGGCCTCCCGGGCATTTTTCACCTTCTCGAGGCTCCGTGGGGAGAGTAGGGGTGGACGATGACCTTCCGAGCCTCATGCCAGTACGGGCCCTGGTTGAACCCGAACGCCACATAGTTGTACCCGAGGTATTGGCCAGCGGCGTGTTTCAGGTTTCGATTTCTGCCATACTTTTTTCTATGCAAATTCCTTGTTGTTTTGATATCCTGTACTTTTGGATTTCGTCTTTCAAGTAACAATTTAACTGTCCTTCCTCTATTTATTCCATTCATGTTATTTATTATTTTCTGTAAGATTTAGTACACACTACACACTGTGCTTTCTTAAGAGTCATGATTGATCTATAACTTACATTGTGTGCTTGCCTCAGCTACACTATTATTGGACCCTCAAAATCTCCAAGTTCCCATGATTCAAAAAACTAAGTTATTTGTGCCTTAGATTCACTAATATTTCACCCTCACAATCTCTTTACTCCTTGTGATTCAGAAAAACTAAGTTATTTGTAAAATTATACGGCTATCTGTTTTGTACAATATAGTGATGAAGGTCTCTAGATGTGTCCAATGGCTTTGCTTCAGACTTTAAGTCGAGATTTCTTATTTTGCATCTCTTATTTTGAAATTTACTATGCGATAAGATGCTAATCACTCCATATATATTTCCTTAATTTGAATATTGCTACTTGTGCTCAATATATATTATCATAAATGAATGTTTCAAATTAAGCAAGTCTAAAATTTAAAGATAGAACCTATAGCAGATATTGAAAACCTAAGCTCCAAGTTTTCCTCATTTTGGAAATAATGCTGCTAGGTTCACCAATATCATAAAAAAACGATTCATGCATATAATGTTTGTAATTTATCAAATTTTGAGTACTGATGTACAGTACTTTGTTAGATCATGATAGATTTCAATAATAAACCTACAAAAAGAATAGAAACTTCATTGGAAATTTTTGTGCTTTAGGTTGTTGACCTGTTTGCTATACATTTTGTTATCTTGGAATCTAATGTGCTATTGGTTTAACTTTGTAGACTTTGTAGAAAGCTCGTCATACAAAGTTGGCTGCTTAATACCATGTATTACAATAATGTTCTGCATTCTTACTCTAATAATAGTTGGTGTATGACTACTTAGTTGCTCTCTATAGGTTCTTCGGTTATAGCTGCTTATATTTCCGGGATAAGTACTTGTTAAACAATGTATTTCAAATAATATTACGTGATTAAATGTCTTTGTTTAAAGAGCGTTGTCCAAGTCATTCATTTAAATGCATGTATTTCAAATTATATTACGTGATTAAATGTCTTTGTTTAAAGAGCGTTGTCCAAGTCATTTATTTAAATGCAGTGTTTATCCCTATTATTCAAGAGATATGGTTTTATTTAAGGAAATGGTCAATTATATGCAAGATTTGATTCTTTAAAAAACTATTGGTTTATTTGAGAATACAAATGCCTTCATATTTCATTTATCTTTTTAATTGCAACTACCTTCATTTATACATGTACTGGAAATAATAAATCACTTACAACTTTTATTTTGGTAGAATGTTTATTCTTATTTTCCATGTGGGGTAGCCTTAATGCCTTGCTATCTCGATGACTTTTAGTTATATGGGTGTTTATGTTGATGGAATATTTTTTCTTAAGTTCTAGCTTCAATGTTTAGAACTATTTAATTCACAATTCTTCCACTTCAAAACTTGAAAGGATAGTAAGTAATCAAAACCTTTATAGTATTTTTTATTCCCTGCCATTTTCATAAGTCTTTCACATGCATATTTTTGGGTTTGTTTTTGTTATGTAACTTCATTTTTTCAGTTGCAATGTTCTAAAGGTCATCGGGTAACTATTTTTAGTACATTTAAACTCATTTGAACAATGACATGCAGATAAATGGCATATGTTTTATTCATTATAATTGGTAACAGAGCTTCTATTTGGCATCACTTCCATATATTCTACTGCACATAGGTTGTACATACTGGAGAATATCAAGTATTACATAATTCTTTTGAAATGAGCGTGAAACAAATATATACCTCTACTCTGATTCAGAAGGTGCACAATGTACTAATTAAGCCTCACGATAAAATTGTGTAATTAGCTATTAGCCATACCGTCAATTCTTAATAATGAGTCTTGTGCCACACTTAACAAATATACAGTAAACAGTATAGGAACTCGGTACATCAATTTTAGACCATGAACTTCATCTTTAAAACAATATTTTCTGTATGGGAATAGAAATGCCTTCTTTCGTCGCATTTTTTCTCCAACAACATTCATGACATACTAACATGCTGTTTTTTCGTTCTACATGGACTTTATTTAGCAAAATACTTTGTGTCTTTATCTCATTGCCGGTTGTGCCTCTTTCACACACACTTCAGCAACTTGAAACTTTAAAACCAAGTAACTAATCAACATATTTAAGTCAGTTCAATTTTTTCTTATTTTGAATGAATACGTTTTGCGTGCACATACTTTCCCATTTAATTTATCTTTTGCTTCATAATTTATCATTTTCTTCTAAGTACTGTCAGGTTTGTGTTGAATTTGACTTCCGTATCACTTTTGTATAATATTTGTTTGCCATTGTTGCTATCAAAATATCTTGTGTTGACCAAGTGAGGATGGTGTTGGCAGGGAAGTACGAATTTAGAATCAATTCATGTCATAAAGAATCCTGGTGGTTCCACTCATTTTTAGGCGAAGGGTGACCATCTGGAATTTATAATACCTAGCCATTGTTGTATATCATAATCCAATCATTTTTTTTTTTTTTTTAGGTTAAATGAATTTTTAATTGTTTAGTGTTTGTTGGAATATTCTTTTGCGATTGTTGTAGTCTTCAATTCTCTCCAGATCACGTTCTATGTTAAAAGTACTTAGCATAACAAAAGTCTTTAACAAAACAAATATATATTTAATGAATTGGGGACTACATTTTAGAATTTAAAGCATTTTGAATTTTGGGCTTCACAGTTCAGTAAATATGTTTGTCTAGATTTCTTTTTGAAAAAATCTACTTATATTGTGGATTGTTGCCATTTGATTTTAGATAGCGGAAAAGATTACATAAATATTGATTTATCCATAATATATTTTATGTGGCTTAATAAAACATATTTTTTTACTCATTTACTATATAAATCATAATACAATAATAAAAACATTAATAACATATTACTACAGTGGGCTGGTTGTGTTAGATGTTTACGTATGAGTTATCTATAAACTATTTTATATGGCTTAATAAAACATATTTTTTTTACTTATTTACTATATAAATCACAATACAATCATAAAAATATTAATAACATGTTACTACAGTTGGCCGGCTGTACATGGTGCAGCCGGAGCTGCTACTCTTGAAAAAAAAAAAATGAAAGGTAATGGAAATCGTGTAAGCATATTTATGTAGCAAGATAGGAATGTGGAGAGCGTGGGAGCTCTTGCATGGGAAGAAATAAATTGTCCTATGTCCCTCCATATTTGTAATTTTTTTTTTTTTAAAGGAACTCAAGAACGTAATATAAGGTCCAACTAGGTATCTCATTTCATTGTGATACTTTGAATAAAAATGTATATTTATTTTTTATATATATTATATTTATATTGAAAAATATTATATTTTATTTATTTTATTTTTTAAATATGTCATTTCAAATTATAAAAAATTATTAAGATATACGGCCAACTAAAGATTGGGTCTGTTCTGGGTAACATTCAGTTTTTCTTTTTGGGCAAAGAAAGACATGGATATTAATAACACAAAAAAATTACAAATCATGCATCAACTAATATCGCTAAATGTAACAATTAACATGTAGATTTTATGTAAGTTGCTCGTACGGATCCTAAAACTTACACCAGACCTCATAACACAAAAACTAGA